TAGTGCCTGGTCTGGTTTGGCTCCCAGAAAAACTTCTGTGATATGCTTCTGCTGTGTGCAAAGTTCTGCAAATTCTCCTTTGTGGAGCCTTTCTGAGCACCTCACTGCTCTTTTGACCTCTCTCTAGTTCCCATGCAGCAAAAGTGCCCCTTAATTCAGTGACTGCCCTGAACATCATCACCCCATTCAGTTTGATGAAACCAGATTAGACTAACAGAACAGCCTCTTTCTTTGCTTACATTTCCTTTTGGTATCAATGGTTGCTTATCTAAGGCATCAGGAAGGAAGGCTTCAAGAAGGAACCCAAAATTAGGAAATGCATGTGTTAGAAATAAGTTTCTGTGTGACTTTTTCCTGTGGTCAGTCTGTGTGTTCCTCCTTATTTACACAAAGTTCGTTGTGAAATAGCAGCAGATCCCAGCATGCACTGCAATGGTCATGAAATCAGTTAATCTGAAGTTATGTAATGAATGGAGAGCATCCTTACATTACTTTTTTTGTTTTTTTTTTAATGGGAAGCATAGTCTTTCCGTCATGTGCGTTAGAGTCCCAGTTCATTCAAGGATGTATCCCAAATGTAGGTGTTACGTAAAAGTAAAATCTGTTCTCTGTCTTTATTCTCCTTGTATTTCTACTCGCAGTGCTTGGAGTAAAAATAAATCCTATTTTCTTGCCACTGTAGGAAGAACAGTGGAATGAAATTCTGTCTGTAGAACACATTTGCTCACTTGTGTTACTCTGAGCTGACTGTTTAGTAAACTAACTAGCAAGCTCGGCCTACAGGTACTGCTTTTAATTCTCACTTTCCCGGTTTTTTTCATGCTTATAAACATACTTGCTTGTTTTGATGCCAAGTTTTATAGCTTGGGAGGGTCTTAAACTAGTTACACAGCTAGGAAAACAGAAATCTTTTAAGATGCTTTAGTCAGGAGTGGTAATTGAACACCAATCTCTTACTTAGCAAAATAGCAGCATTGCCAAACATTTTCAAAAGAATATGTCATGCAAGATATGACTGTAAATTATGTGTTTTGCCTGGTGGCAGCAAGAAACTTCTTAAATATCAGTGAACCTACTTTGATGCCATGAGAGCTGATCCTTCAGCTAAAATAATTTTGTGGGTTGTTTGACCCTACGGATTCAACATTCAGTCTTCACAGACGGGTCCACAGGGCTTCTACAGATTTCATAAGGTTACCTGTAATCCTTATTCCCTCATCCTCCCAGGTGGTCTTGGTACCGAGATCAGAAGAGAACTCAAATGGCCCACTGGTGCTGCTGTCTTAAGTACTTGGGTCAAGTATCAATCATGATATTTTTCTTCTTTGTATTTGCACTTACATGCTTGCTGAGCCGGAGTACCTGCTTCTGTTGTATGCACATGTGGTTTTTTCCACTTGCATTTTGGCTGTGGAAGATGGGTTGAAGGCTCTGTGCCAGGGTAACGTATGCCATGCAATGTTGGCTAATCCCTTCTCATTTCAAATAGATTTGTGAATAAGGGGGTGCAGTTTAAACACATTGCAAACCCCTGAAGCCTTAGTGAATCCTGAATTTTGCCATCTCGACTATTTATAGAACACTCTATGCCTATTCTAAATATATTTTCCTCAAGGGGACCTCATCTCAACCCCTTGCTCCACAGCTTAAATTGAAGCAGCAGTGCTACTATGATCTGTTAGCAAAAATTCCTTCTCTAGCTCTGTGGCAGAGCTGCAAATGTTGCTGATCCAGGCCGAGAAGGGGAAATTCTGTGCCAGGCATAGCTTGAGGGTTTAGATTTAAACTCTACAGCCAGCCATATAGAGAGATATTGATGATATATTGGATCATTTCCTGTAGCCATCGCCTGATTATTTTTAAACATTCCTCCTCTGCTGGTAGGTCTAGAGGAAAGGGAAAACCAAGTAATTTTGCGGCAGTCTTCAACCTTGCAAACTAGGCAAGTGAGCACAAAAAACATTTTCTTTCTAGAGGAAGTACAAAGAGTGTTCTGTGGGCAGAAAGCATTTTCTATTGCAAAGGTGCTTGAAATTAGTGTTTTCTTTCTCTGCTGTAGAGACGAGAAATGTCTCTTCTGCAGAATTACCTGCCTGACAGTGCTTGGAGAGCTGTGCCTCTGACTATGGGATGGTTCTTCCTGAACTGTTTCCTACCGACCAGGAGCAGAAACCTCTTCTTTGCTAGCTGGCATCTTGCAACCTGTCTGGCAGTAGAGTGGACTCTGCAAGCTTTGCTTTGTGTTAGTGAAGGCAGAAGTGCTGTAAGATAGTATAGAACGAACATTGCAGGAATGGGTCCTACTCTCACCTGGCTTTGGAAGTTAGTCATACCTGTTCACTGTTATTTTCCAGCCAGATGAGCATGGGAAATTTAGAAAGCAGAGCTTGACTCCCACTTGCTGTTGATTGAATGTGATCAGCCTATCAACTCTATTGCTTCTGCATAAGGGAATAAGGATCTCTTCAGGCCAAGGAAAGCAACTCATCCCACAAGAGAACCTGTAGTGGAGAATCTCTGCCTTTTAGAAAATTCATACAATTTGCTTTTTCAGTCAAAGTCTCTAGCTGTGCCTAGGATAGAAGTTTCAGTGCAAAGGCCACACTGCAGAGCTTCACAGGACATTTTTCATCCTTCACATTTGAAAATATTTATAAAAATATATCCTTTATTGAATTCTGTAGATTTGAACTGCTTCTTCAGTAGGATAGTTGTATTCAGTCTGCCTCTTTCAAAAGCGTCTGCATATCTGCGTGGCAGATGCTGCATATCACAGTCCTGAGTGAAAAATTTTGGGTCAGTGTAGAGGCAGGATGGGCCATCATGTCTCGACATATCCTGAAAACTGTGCTGCTCCACTGTAATGATCGGTACTGACTTGTGTGCTCAGAAGAAAGGAACTGCTCCCTAAGATGTGATTGACCCAGGCTCTACTTAGACTCAACTTACAACTGGGGTGTAAAGCACCAAGGCTGCCTTGCACTGGTTCAAGGTCAGGATTTGGAAGCAGTGTGTCACTAGTGTCTTCAGGAGTCATGTCAATTTATGTACCCATTAGAAATTCCCTTCTTTCTGGGTACAACGAAGAAGTGACTTCTGCTTACTTAGCCTCAGGGATAGAGAGGTCTGTGCAAAGTTTTGCCACTCCATAGATCAGGGTAATGTAGCTCACTGTGTGTCTAAGCCTCAGAAAGTGGTTTTGAGGTTAACAGAAGCTTTTCTTGGTTATTACCCTTTAAGGGTGAATGGGGCAGCATGTGGCAAGATCACATAGTGGGATTAGCTCAGGACTTAGCAGGAAGAGTTTCATAGCACTCCTCCAGAGCTATTTCCTTCTCTTGCAGCCTCTGGAGCTTGTGCCCTTGCCTGCCTGGCAGGAAAATCGTGCCAGCTCAGTGCAGCAAAGTAGACTGGGTCCAGTGCCCTTGGAAGCAAGGAAACAGGTAAACTATATGTAACAAGGATTGCACAGTTGCCCATAATATTTCCCCAAGATACATTCGCCTTCACACACTGGCCTCTTCCTTGGGTCTTCAAAGGAATCAGTATCAGCATAGCTTTAGATTTTGCTCCAGTCACTGCTTACTAGCACATGGGAGGGTGCAGGTGAGACTCTCTGAAAACACTGCAGTGCCACTCAGCCTAGTGCATCACCGTGCACCTTGGGGTGCTGCTGCTGTGGTCTGCTAGGGAGACCCGCTCGGTTCAGGCAGTGTCTGTGATCTCACAGGGATACATTAACTCAGGAAAGGCTCTGCAGTACCTGGGGCTGTACCAGGATGGGTGCTTAGACTCCAGTGCTGGTCATTTGTGTTAGTGTTCCAGTAAAGCAACATTCCTAATGTGTCTGTCCGTGGTTCCTGGGCTGACAGTGTGATTGGCATCTTTCTGGCTCACCTCATCATGCCTCTGGCTAGGTTATTCCCACTGATATCTCTCTAAGACCAGCTTCCTTGCAATGGAAGATCTCCATTTGATCACTGTTGATAGAAACAAACTATAGTGCCTTTTGTGGTCTATGTGTGTTGTCTGAACTGAGGCTGTGAAAGAATCAAGAACATTTAACCACAAGACAAACACCAGGAGCGAAATGTCAGAAGCACAGTGCAGAGCTCAATTTTGAGCCTAATCTGATCACTGAATGAGGTGCTAATATCTCAGCTACTGGGTGGAATCTCGTAGTCTGCTGTTTGCATTCTGTTACCAGAGTATAGTGGTGTATGTAAAATACACAGTGGTGCAGGCAGTGCATGGTGAAGGAAAATGTCTGGTTTTGGTGATGAAAAATCTGTCTTCACATCTGAGCTCTGGGGAGCTGATCAGATATTTTATGGCATGATACTGTTGTTACAGCTTGAAGAAGCAATTTCAGATCTGGCTTCTGTAATTGCCTGATCATTTAACCTGTCTCCATTCCCCCATAAGAAGAGGACGTATTGCTTTCATTCATGTTGCCTTGTTCATCAGTAAATGTAAAGCAAATTGTAAAACCAGACCTGCTTAAACTAACATTTGTAGCTATTCTTTCACTCACACACAAACTAACCCTCTGATGCCTGTCCAGCTTTTTTTTCTTATACAAGAGAGAAAATCAGAACAATGAACCAATTAATATTGTCTTTTCCTTTTGAAGTGTTGGGGAAGCATTTGGATACCATGCAAGTGAGCAACAATATGGTGAAAAACTGTTTTAGAGATAAACTTAGTTGTGGAAGTAGCTTTGCTGTGTTTTACCTTTGCTGCTTTTTTCCCTTGCTCCCGGTATGGTGTTTAGGATGGACTTCCCCCATTCCCAGGAATGCAGAGAAAGCCCTGCCCTGAGTCAGGTGGAACTGAAGGTTGGCTGAGTGCTGGGCCAGATGTATGTCTGTGTCGCAGAAACAGTGATGGATACTTCTGGTTGCTTTTTTTCCTGCTGGGTATGGGATGGGTTTTAATCTTGGTTAAATCCTGTATCCCTGTATCCTTCTCTTGAAAGGACTTTTCTTTCTTTTGCAGGCATGGTTCAGAAACTTGACCAGAAGCTGCCTGTAGCCAACGAGTACCTACTGCTTTCGGGTGGTGTGCGGGAGGGCGTGGTGGACATTGATCTCGATGAGCTGAATGTTTATGCACGAGGCACAGACTATGACATGGACTTCACCCTGCTTGTGCCCGCACTGAAGCTGCATGACCGCAACCAACCAGTCACGTTGGACATGCGCCACTCGGCTTTGTGCCACTCCTGGCTGAGCCTGCGTCTGTTTGATGAAGGAACTATCAGCAAATGGAAGGACTGCTGCACCATCGTGGACCATATCAATGGAGCTACCAATTATTTCTTCTCTCCAACAAAAGTCGCAGACTGGTTCTATGACTCCATTAGCATTGTCCTCTCTGAGATCCAGAAAAAGCCCCAGCGAGGGATGCCAAAGGTGGAGAAAGTGGAAAAGAATGGGACTATCATATCCATCATTTTGGGAGTGGGCAGCAGCCGCATGCTGTACGACATTGTCCCTGTGGTGTCCTTCAAAGGCTGGCCAGCTGTGGCCCAGAGCTGGCTGATGGAGAACCACTTCTGGGATGGGAAGATCACAGAGGAGGAAGTTATAAGTGGGTTTTACTTAGTGCCTGCGTGTTCCTACAAGGGGAAGAAGGACAATGAATGGAGGCTATCATTTGCCAGAAGTGAAGTGCAGCTGAAAAAGTGCATCTCTAGCAGCCTCATGCAAGCCTATCAGGCCTGCAAAGCTATCATCATCAAATTATTGTCCCGCCCCAAAGCCATTAGTCCATATCACTTGAGAAGCATGATGCTGTGGGCTTGTGACAGGCTACCAGCCAACTACTTGGCCCAGGAGGATTACGCAGCCCATTTCCTCCTGGGTCTCATTGATGATCTCCAGCACTGCTTGGTCAACAAGATGTGCCCTAACTATTTCATCCCACAGTGCAATATGCTGGAGCACCTCTCTGAAGAAACCGTCATGCTGCACGCGCGGAAGCTGTCCTCGGTCCGCTCAGACCCTGCCGAACACCTTCGAACTGCCATTGAACATGTCAAAGCAGCCAACCGGCTAACGCTGGAGCTCCAGCGGCGAGGCAGCACCACCAGCATCCCCTCCCCACAGTCAGATGGAGGGGACACCAACCAACCTGATGACCGATTAGCCAAAAAGTTGCAACAGCTAGTGACTGAGAACCCGGGGAAGTCCATCTCTGTCTTCATTAACCCAGATGATGTCACAAGGCCCCACTTCAGAATTGATGATAAATTTTTCTGAGCTTTCATCAATGTTTCTTGGGATTTTTTTCTTCTGTTTCGTTTTTAAAAAACTCTTGCAGTGTGCAAGATTTTTTCCGCTTGCTTTTCCTTGATGACTTAGTCTCTTGTTTTTTACATATCCAGCGTAAATTGGATCTGTTGAGAACAATCTGAATAAATCATAATTCCTGGTTCTGCAGGACGGTGCAGATTTTGAAACAGTATATTAGTATTTCATATGCGGCTTTGATTTTTTTCACCCACCCAGCCCCATTATCTGTGAGTAGTTTCTAAAGGAGAACATGCACCATAAACACACATGCCACAGTGTAATGAATTTTTTTTTCAGGCTTCCATAATTTATGTACTTTTTTGGGCCTAGGGAGGGGGCAACTCATCTTCCGTGGCTTCAGAAATTCACTCCTTTTTCCATGAGCTTCCATCACCCCAAAGAAATGAGGAGAGACTCTGGGTTGGAAAGCACTACTGGTAATTTGATGAGGCCAAATCTACTGGGCTGAAGCCCAGTTCATCTGTTCTTCACACTTCTCACACTAGGGGATAGAGTTGACTTTAAAGAAGATGATGATGCAGCTTTTGGAGGAAAGAGTTCTTTCTGGTTTGATCTACTTTTTGAATGTAATTGTTCATAATTGGACTTTGTACAGTCCAGAGGGTTGTTTCTGCTGCTTTTCCATGCGGAATAAGGTTACGGAATGTTAGTTTTAGTGTGTGTAATTATTCAAAGCCTTATTTAAATTCTATTAAAGAACATACCATTATAAATGTTAATTGCACTAATGAAATCTCTGCCATTACCTCAGTCCCACTGTTTGTGTTTCTTTCATGAATTAGCATCTGTTATTAGGTCTCAGTGTTGCAGATTGCTTGAGGCCCCTCAGTTCTCATGGTTTCAGGTGATTTCTTGATTGTCTTTTGTAAAAGGCTCTTTCTTGTTAGCCCTGCTATGTGTGAGAAGTCAGATTTTTTGCATTGGCATATTTCTTTGGATGCGTATTGTGTATTGCAGTGCATATTGCATTAATATGTATTGCATGTTGTTGAAACAGGTTTACCATTAGATAAGGATGTAATGCTAAAGCAGTGGTATGTGCAAAGTGAATCAGCCAGACCTCGAGCAAAGGAGCTACCTTGCTTCTGTAATGCATGTATTAGGCCTGATCCTTTATGGCTGTTACCATTCCCTTGACTCCTGTGGACTTTCTGACTTACCCTGGGACATATGAGATCTTCCTTTGGTCTCATGTTTGCAGAAGTTGTGTTTGTATGTAAACTTGCGGTGCAACAGTAGCCTTGAAAAACACATACGCTTTCCTTTTGTGTGTAGGGTAAGATGTACGGTAACAAGGGTTAGTCTGAGCCAAAAATAATTCTAAGAGTTCAAGGGTAGAGTGGCTTTTTGTGGCTGGCTGGCCAGTGACTGATATTTAGGCCTTAAATCAGCAATTTGGGCTTACTGATTATCCCAGAGAAGCTGTTTTCATCCAAACTTGATGCATGTTTTGAAATGTGATTATTAGAGCAGGTTGAAGTACTGTTTAAATATTTGAACAGACAAATGAGGCGCCTATCTAGTAAAGTCTAACAGATAAAAGTTGTGTATGAAAAATGTGTCACTTTTTCAGGCCAGCCTTTCTGGTAAAGAAACCAGGCTGGTGGAGCAGCACACCAGCAGCTTTGGAAACTGCTATATTAGATGGCAGAGAGGTTTTAATACCTGATCTAGTGCCCAAGACATGTCTTAAAATGAAACTTTGGCTCCTCCATCCCTTGGGCATGTTTGAAAACTTCACCCCATTGCTGTAGCCAGGATGTTCTCATTTACCTGAATTTACTGGTACACATTTATGTGAGCCTGAAGAAGCTCTCAGAAATTGCTGGCTAGGTGGAGTGGATGAAAATTTAACTTTAAAGCACAATTGGCTAGTGATTGTGAGCCCCAGTGCAGCTGCAGTTACAGTCTGGGGAAGGACGTGTATTGACTTCAGAGGAAGAACTGGGTCCTACCAGTGTGGCTATTGCCAAAGATGAGTCTCCATTTAAACCCGTGTAACCTGCCTGGGGAAGCAGGAGAACTGGCTGGGAATCCTCTCCAGAAGTGCTTGGAAAATGCAGATTTGTTGAAATGGTCTTTTCCCCAGTCTCCAGGACTTCTGTCTGTTGGAAAAAGAATCTGGAATCCAGGATGAAGTTTCCCATCACCACATGAAAGAGATCTGCTCAGCACAAAGCAGCAGTGCCCTGGCAGGCAGAGTGCTTTCCCGGGAGTCCCAGCGTCCGTGTCGGTGCTCCTGAGTTATGCAGAAACACAGCCTTCCTCATGCCAGTTCAATGTCCCAATGACCAGCAGTTTGACTAGGCCATGTCAAGCTCTGGTGTGTGCTCCTTTTTTGGTTTTAATTAAAAAAAATAATATTTCAAAAAGTATCTATCTTGTTCTTCCTGCATTATGAGGAAAATGTGTGTGTGTTGAGTTTTTTTGTAAGGAAGAGGAGGTTTGGTTTTCTACTGGACTGGAAAGAAATTTCCCAGGTAGGTCAGAGAGAATGTGCTATCCTTTGCGTGGACCATCTGTCTTCCAGGGAGACAGAATCCTAATCTCCAGTAGGTTTTGAATCCCTAATATTTGCTTCTTCACACATATTATAACTCAACTTAATGAAGGAAGTTGCCAGCCCAGAGGGGTGATGTGTGCTTTTGTATATTAGCGAACACTGAAGGCTCTCTTTTCTTCCTGTCCTATTGTCCCCTCTTGCCTTTGAGTATATACTGGGACACACTTGCAAAATGCATAGGTCTTTATGTGGGATTTCATAGTGAGAGGGTTTAGACATCAACAACTATTATTCTTCACTGCTTTCTAAATATTTCAAGGGAACCACAGTGCTTTTCCTGTTGGGGAGTTCTTCAAAGGCTTTCATACTAGCATTTTAGAGCTCCTAGCCCCGTGGGGTTAAAGACTTGGCCAACCTGACAAACAATGGAGTAAGAGGGAATTTGCTTTAAATGAGCAATGTAGTCAGTCTTTCCTACTGATGCCAAGAGGAGGCAAGTCAGTGCTGGGAGCCTATGTCTGAATGGGAGCTTCAGTTCTGCACCCACTGCTATGGGGGCTAAGATTTTTTTTTTTTTTTTGCTTTTGCAAAGCCTGATGGCTTGTCGCTCTTGGTGAATGATGTTGCAAAACAACTGGAACAATTAGTGAGGGGCTGGCTGCACATGCAAGAATGTAGGTCTCATTAATGTGCCTGTCCTGCAACAGTCTGCATGTTACTGCCTCCTACACTGTTACAGGAGAGGGGAGTCCCAGCCAAGAGGGCCTGGCCTTGAGGCATCAGAAAGGTGGAGATGGAGAAAATGTACCCTTCAGAGGCTCCGTTTCTCAGTGCGAGCCTCCTTGGGCATCCTGGCTGTGGTCCTACTCTTCAGAAAAGCTTTTCCATTGGGTTTCTGGCCAGTAGCACAACACAAGTAGCAGCTAGTTTAACTGATTCCAGTTGTCACTTAGGGGGGACACCTGAGCTGCTGCAGAGCTGGCAAAACCACCAGCTGGTGGGTCGTTATTCTTTGTGCTGTGCTGGGGGGAGTACTTGGAGCAAAAGGGAAAACCAGCCCAAGAGCTTTGTGAAAGCCTGCAGTCTCTGCTCCTTCAAGCATGTTAAATGGAGCCTCAGTCAGTTCTGGCTGGCTGTGATAAATCAATTTCTCCACATTTTCCAATGCTCTAGCCTGGAAAAAATGTTGGTGTTCTAACCAGAAAACTACAAGTAAGCACCAGATTCACTCTTTGCAGGAGATTCAGTGAAGTACCAGCAAGAGTTTAACTATCCACTGCCCAAAATAGAAGCCAGTCCCCAAAGGCCATTGAAAGAACTGTTTTTAAGGTCTGTCTTTCCTGTTGTCTTTCTGTCACTGTGAGAAATAGCTCTAATTTTGATGTAAATCTTGGACTTTGTCTAATTGACTTGTTCCTGTGGAGAGCAACCTTTTTTTGGCAGCTATAGTGGTTATGGGCTTGACAGGGACATTGGAACTCTGCCCTTCCGCTTCTTGGTCTCCTCATGGAGGGTATAAGTACGCTGTGAGACGGGCTTGTATCTGCTATAAATTGACAGGTCAGTGACTGAAACAAGCTCTGAAAGAGAGCAGCCACTCTTATATGAGATATACCCTCAGCTCATCTGTTGGCCAGTGTTGTGAGCCATATGAAATGATCCCCAAACTTTCTGAAATGATCCCCAAACACTCTCTCTGTGGGCACTGTGTTCTAAAACAAGTACAGGGTGGCTGACTTCACACCAGATGCTGTCCTGGTGTCAAGCATCCACCATTAGCGAGTGGTTTCCAGTTAGTTGTTTAAAGTTTCTGATAGATCTGTGCATACAGGAAAAAATGACTACTTAAAAGCCTTAGAAGGCTACAGATTCCTGAAGGTCACATTTCTCTGCCCTCCAGAGGCTGTGACTGGTGCTTAGACCTGGCTCCTCTGAGCTGCAGCCTCTGAAGACATTACAGTAGAGGTTTATTTAGGTGTCTTGCCAATCTACTTTCTGTATAGTGATGGATGCACATGGCAGCTGACCAAATCCAACCAAAAGTGCCCAGGAGGTTGTGACTGGAGCTGGAGGGTCACAGGGCTGGGCCCAAATCCCATTAAAGTCCACTGGGACCTGAAAATGTGCTTGAAACTACGGGTGTGTACTTTTGCCAGATCAAGCTGATTGTGATCAGACTAAAAGCAAGCAGACATCTGTCATATTTTATTAACCCATGCATAATACAAGCAACCATGCATAATGCAAGTGAATGTGGCAGAGGCTTTGCTAATGATTTTTTCTCCAATATTTTTTTAAAAGGTGTGCACATTTGGTGCCTAGAATTGCTTAAAAATAGGAGTAATTTTTTTGCAGATTCAGTGCTGGATACATTTTGCCACTTCATTTTGTATTAAAGCGAGTTCGAAAGGTCACTGGACAGCTGAGTGCAATAATGTTCAGATTTTTCTGACGTTGCTCACTGATTAGAAATATTCAGCATGCAAATAGCTTGTTCAACTTCAGCAAGTACATCATTTCCCTCCTGCCAGCCTTGCTTGGGGTGAGCTAATGGACTTCTAGCATTATACAGCTTAGAGAGTGACTGTCTCTAATAGCTCCTGATTAAGCTCTCCAGAAAGGTAAATAACCATCATGGGGCAAAGGCTAAACAAGGGGAGGGGGGCAAAAAAGTACAGATATTAAAAAGTTGCTGGCCAAGGGACTCTTGCTGACGTGTTTTGTATTTAGGGGAATTCAGCATTATATTTAGCACATTTTGTCTTTTGAGAACTCTGTCAAATAGATCCTCTGAATGCTTTTAGAATAGTGATAAAATAGCCCTCCATCCCTTCTCATCCCCCTTTGCTCATTTATAATCTATTATTTTAGGCCTGCTCTGAGGAACTATTGTGTTCTCCTGTTATCATTGTCCCTGGCTCAGCACTGTGCTTCCAAGCTGAATGTGGGCTCTTGGGGGTTATTTTTATCTTACTGACCTTCTGTGGTAGAGGAACACGCTCTCATTCAGTCTCCAGACAGCATGATTTGCTGAGCAGAGAGATGTGGGTGCATATCAGAGGCATCAGGCTCTCTTTAAACTAACTCGGCACTGTCTTTCCATCTCAGTTTGGTGTGTTAGGAATATCATCGTGGGAGACATGCCTGAAGTCTTGGTAGGCACAGAGAAGACATGATACGTGATCCTGAAGTCAAGCAAGCTCTAGTGCAAAG